ATTAGAATTTTTATCGAGAATTCAGATTTGATATAGTGTAGTTGATTAATTGCATTTTTCAATATATCGTTATTGAAATATGTAAATATTTTAAGAACATGACAAGAAAAGAAAGAAAAATGTAGAAAATGTCATGTTATAATTTTAGATGGAAATGGATGAAAACCTGTGATGGTAGCATTCTCCGTCGGTTAATCCCTTTTGATGACGTTCTGTGAATCTCCGCATGATGTCGTAAGACGATGGTATTCAATATAGTGCAGTCATTAAAATGCATTTGATGCAATCTAAATATGTGACGTAAAATGATGTTTCTTCGAAAAGCCTTGAAATGTTTACTCGTCTAGATCTTTCATGTATACATCTTGTACCTAAATAAAATTAAAATATCGGAATAATCTTACAATTGATTTTACAGACAAAGGTGATTTTTATGTGATGACCTCATGAGATTTAAAAAAAAAATGATTAACATTCATCAAACTGTCTGTCTTAAAAAATATCCAAGAAATATTTTTATAATGATATATAGGAATTAATGTGAAGTCGGCGAAATCAGATTTACCGATTTAGTAATATCACAAATCCAGACATGTTGATTTTAGAGTTACACAACGTCATACATTTCGGGCGACGCGTGATGAATATTTAATTTTATTGCACGCTTGTAAATTCATATTAAATGTGTACATATGCGATGTAAAATAAATAGACCGATGATATACAAAAACTATGGCGTAAACGATATGGTAATTTTTCGCACACACGAAATATCATGTAGAATTTATTTACATTCTCATCGCATTCTTCATGGGAAAAACAGTAAAAATTAACCTTTGTGCGCTAGAATTATCGATAAAGCATTGGAAGTACTTAATGATACCGTTTATCAATACGTACTTAGTCATACTTACGTATATAATAATCACTTACTAACAATACTATTGAAAGTGTTGATATCAAGTATAAAACGCAAACATTTTTTTAATTAGAATTATAAACCAATAACTAATCTCACTGTTATCAAACGCTACACATTT